TCAGCTTTAGCTGGGCCCATAATCCTCCTCCTGTTAATAATAACTATTGGGCCATGTATCATCAATCAGCTGGTTGCCTTCATTAAAGAACGAGTGAGTACAGTACAACTCATGGTCCTGAGGTCCCAGTATCAGCCCTTAGAACCCCTATTAGGGACCCCAACCTAGACCCATGATTGGGTCTTCTCTAAGTTACAAGGAGAGGGGGAAATGTGAAACCCTCCTCTGTGGCCCCCTGCCCTGGACTCCGGAGACCCCCTGCCCCTCTTTAGGAATAATTTCTCTTTCTTGCTTCTGTAAACCACTTGATTGCTAGGCTGAGAGGACAAACTGCACTGACCCAATTTTGACTAGTTGCTTCAGGCAAGCCTGGACCTGTCCAGTGATGTCATAATCTCCACCTACTACCCCCACCCCAGGAGGCTATAGATCAAGCAGGCCCAGGCATATAGCAGCCTTATAAGGTAAGAACAGAGACTTCTGGCCTCACAGACAACAGCACATTCCACAGCTCTGAGGGTAGCACCAGCCAATGAGAAACCCCCAAGACTGCATCCCTTATAACCAATCAATTCAAAAGTGTGTTGGCGTGCGCGGGCTCCTTGGACCAATGAAGATGTAACTCTGTTTTCCTCTCCTGCCTTGGTCTAAAACCTATAAAAGGCTTCCTCCCCCTGCAATCAGGGCTCTCAGCACAGATCCATTGCATTGGTGAGGTCTGAGAGCCTGAGCTTAAGCCCAAATAAAGACTCTTTGTTCTTGGATGCCCTCTGGATTCCATGGTTATGCTTGGGGGTCCATTCTTTGGACACAACAATCTCACTTCAGGATCCAGGGGATGGACTTGAGAGGAAGGTCACTGGATTGCTTGGTCAGTCATCCCAATGTGGCCACATTGAATAAATCTTTTTCTGTTTTCCACTATTACTTTGGCTTTTTCTTTCTTAATTTTTTGTTGTTGTTGTTGTTTTAAATTTTGGTCTTTTTGAGGCAAGGTCTCCCTGGAGGCACAGCTGGCGGGGAACTCAGTGTGATAGACCTGGCTGCTGGCCTCAGTCTCACAGGTTACTGCCTGCCTCTGCCTCCCAATTGCTGGGATTAAAGGCATGAGCCAACATACTGAGTTTACTTTGGCTTTTTAAATTGAATTATTGAGGACAGATGACAGAACCTGGCTTGAGATACAGGCTGTGAACCCAAATTCTGTAACAGAAGCTGCTCTTGTCAGATAGGACAGGAAGCAGAGAAAAAAAAAAAAAAACAGGACGTAGCCAGGGCAAAATGTAACCTTCAAAGACCTACCCCTAGTAAATTACTTCCTAAAGCTAAGCCCCACCCTCTACATTTTACGATTTTCTCATAATGCCATCATTGTATCACTGTGAGACTGATCCATTGCTTAGTTCAGAGTCCTCATTATCAAATGCCTTCCTGTTACAGAGTTCGGGACCATGGGGAAGTAACAGCAGCCTCAAGCGAATTGGAATTAGCCAAATTTTTATTCAATCTATGTAGCTGACCGCTGATCCAGTCTCTGAGGGTGGTGGGAGCTAGTCTGTGGTGGATTTCTAAGTAGGGGAGGAAGCCTTTAAAGTTAAAAAACACCTTGCTTCATTCTTGTGGAATGTGAAGTTGCAAGGGGAGAGATTACACTTTCCTCTGGGCCTAGCAATGAGGATGTATACAGAAACCAAACAAACAATAGTTAACCATTCCATGACAGTCACAAAACAGAGGGGCATTTTGGGGAGTTATTGGAACTAAGTTCAACCTTAGGTCTGACTTGCCTGAGACAAAATGGAGGTGATGGTCAAGATGGAGTCACCCTCCCTTCGGGCATACTCAAAATTTTTATTGAAATATTCTCTCTATATGGTTACTTGGTCTTGATTTACTTGTATGTTTAATTTGCCTAATGTTAGAGAGTATTCCAAGATGGCTAATCTAATCTACTCAAAGACAATCCATGAAAATTCCCATTGCTTATATCCATGCATAAATATATTTTCTTTCTGCAAATTATTAGTTTTATCAAGCTTATAGACAACTCATGAGCCTATATACAAATTGTCAAATAAATTGCACAGTAAAGTTGAAATATATATTGACTCTGAAATTCTAAATAACATTTATGCACTAAACCCTAAAACAAAATCAGAAGCCAAATCTTTAGAATCAACTAGCTGTGAGAGGAAATAAAATAATTTATCAAGGGATAGAGGAAAGGGCACCTGTACAAAGAACAGTGTTTTGAAGGTAGCAGTAGTTGCATAAAACAAGTATTTGCTGATACTCTATGTAGCTCATTGTAGTTAGTCAGAAAAGATTTGTACAACAACCAAAGTGGAATAGAGAAAAATGGAATTAAGAGTCCCAAATGTCAACAAACTTTAAAAAATATTTTATTATTACTTTTTTAATTTTACATGTAAAATTGTACTGCCTGCATGGGTGTAGATATACCTGTGTTGTGGAGTACCAGTGGAAGTCAGCAGAAAGCATCAGATCCCCTGGAACTGGAGTTACAGAATCCAGTTTATTATTTCAATAATATGATCTTTAGGTTATTAGCTGCCATGCGGGTGCTGGGAATTGAACCTGAGTCTTCTGCTAGAATAGTCAGTGCTCTTAACTGCTGAGCCATCTCTCCAGTCCCAATGTCAAAAAACTTTTATGATACTTATAAAAATGTGGTGGTTTTTTTTTTTTTGGTTCACTATGGATGTCAATCAATTTTTAAAATTAGTGACAGGATGCATGCTAAAATGTTAATAGATAAAGCACTATGGAAAATAAAAATCAGAAATTTACTAATATAGTGAGAAATATTAAAAGAAAATTAATTTTAATAAATGGGAGGTGCTCAGAAGAGGAAAAGGGAAAAACAATATAAACCATGAATGGTAAAGTGAAAAAAAAATGTAAAAAGTGAATCCAAAAGTTCAACTATGAAAATAATTACTTATTTAGAATCTTTACATTTTTTTACTTATATGTTTTTTTAAAATTCTATGTGTATGAATGTTTCTCCTGCATATATGTAAGTGCAGCTGTATGTGTGTAATGCCCATGGAGGCTAGAACAGGGTGTCCAATCTACTGGAACTGGATGGTTGTTAGCTGTCATGTTGATCCTGGAAACTGAACCTGGGTCCTCTACAAGAGCAGCCAATGGTCCCAACTGCTAAACCTTCTCTCTAGATTTATTTTATGTGTATGAATGCTTTTCCTGAATGTATATAAATGATGCTGTCTGTTGCCAGAAGCTAGAAGAGGATGTCAGATCCCCTGAAACTGGAGTTACAGAGGGTGTTAGCTAACTTGTAGATTCTGGGAACTGAACCTGGGTCTTCTGGAACAGTAGTCAGTGCTAAACACTTCTTTAAAATACAGAGGTGCCCATGACTTAAAAGTTAGAACTAAAACACTTCCATCCTTCCTATAGGATTTAAGACCTCAATGTTACACAACCCCCTCTAAGAGTATTGGTAGCATGCTTTCACTGAGGGAGCACAGCAAATGGAGAATGTCCACCAGTGCGGTTGACAAGAAAACAAAGAAAATGTCCAGAGAGAACTAGAATCAACTGTATAAAATAACACTAGAGATCAACCTCTCTAAAAAAATGAAGAAGTTCATGATCTAAATAAAATAACAAAAAGGCTAATTTTCTTGTCTTTTAAAAGAACAGTGTACTGTGAGTAACTGAGATGGATCCAAGAGAAAAATAATTCAGTGCTCAGATAGCTGTTAATGCAATTCATTACACTAACAGAATAAAGCAAAGTATCATATCATTTCAAAGACCAAGGTAAAATCTGAAGAACCATTATTTTCAAGAACTGAGAAGTCCAGACAGCCAGCTAAACAAGGTCAAGGAGCCCTCTTACTGAATTAGTATGAGCAGGGTGCTGGAAGGAAGCTGTTGGTCCCCAATGTCCCACTTCTCTGGGAAGAGAGATAGTGTTTGAGTCAGATGCTTCAGTGCAACCTAATGTCCTCTCATTGCTGAGGGAGTAACAAACAAAGGCCCCTGTTCTATTATAGACCAACAGGTGGAAGGAACAGAAAGAACAAGAAGAAGAAGATAACACAGGGTAAAGGGCTTTTAAAACCTTTGTTCTATGAGAGTACCCAAGAAAGATTATCACCAGAGGCCAAATTTTCTTAGGAGTTCCAGGTCCTGTACATTGGCCTGAGTCTTGGCAAGTCCTTCTGCACCCTGCCTCAGCAGTGAGAGTCACTGGTTGTACTATCTCCTACTAAGGTTGCCAAGGACAGGTTAGAAATTGCCCATAAGTAGATTTGATGGATCATTCATACAATTGTGGTCTAGAGAGGGTCCTCAATTATCTATTGGGAAGTCTGAAAAGAATCTAAGAGTCTCAGAAGACAATTTTGTATGCTGGGAGAAAGAGATAAATTTCTTATGTTAAGAAATTGCATTAAGTTGGGTGGCAGCAGTTGAGGGAGGCAGGAATGGGGAGAGGATCTAAATACCATCAAACTGTATTGATTGAAAATCACAAAAATTCAATAAAGAAAATTTTTAAAATGTCATGAAGGAAAACTAAAAATGTTTTCACTTAGAATGAAATGCTTTAATATCCAGGAATAAACTGCAAAATTAAAAAGCAAGGAATCCAAAAGTTTAATTGCCGCAGCAGCACGTCAACCTCTGAGTATTCTGGGCAGAGTGCGTCAGGATTGAACAAACAATCACACCATCATGGACTGGGAGGAAGGACTCTCTTTATTGCTTGAGACAAGGGTTTAAATACCTTTTCAGTAAAGGAGGTGGAGTCAGGACACATGATAATTGGGCATTCCCCTGATCACCTGACTGTAAGGCTAGTTTTGGGTCAGGGTGTACTTTTCTCAGAATCAGGAGGAAGTCCTTGTGATAAACAATTCCAGGAAATACCACAGATACCCAAGCTCTTATAAGGGGGAGGTGGAGGTCAGGATGCCATGTCCCTGCATCTCACCCCTTTTTTTTCAAAGGAAGGTAACTCTGTCTTAGGTCGTTCTGGAGGGGTCACCCTTACCCATCACTGGGAGACCTCTTCCCTGTCTTAGGCCAGAGCCCTCTCACAGAAAGTTGCCCGTCACTGAGAATACCTTCATCTTTTGTGTAGCATCTGAAGCCACACTTGTGGGACATCTGTATGGTTGTGTGAAAACTTAAAAGGACTTGTTGGGTAACAGTTTGTCGGGACCGAATTCTTCTGAGCTTTCTACACAAGACCCCAAAACACAAAGGTCATAATGAGTATGAAATTGACAGTCAGTGATAAGGAGCCTGCCCACCTCTGTATCCATCCTCCAATTCCTACCATGGTATTCCATCATCCTTCTGCTGATGTGGCAGGGACCCTGGTTTCATTAACGGATACAAATTGCTAAGTAAGAACCTTAGTAAAATTTGCAAAGGTCACATTCCATGGTCCCTTAAGAAAGGCATTCAATTGTTTTACAGTATTGGAGGCATTTTGCACATGGTAATGAGTAACATAAATATGATGGAAGAAATGAGAGCATGTTAGCTGTTACATAGCCCAAAGGGCATCAACTTGTTCTTGTAACAAGGCAGTTTGTTGATTTAAGTTCATTAGCCCAAATTGTATGTGTGCATTGATTGAGTTCTGAGTTTGCAGGGCTTCACTAACTTTTCCTGACAAGGTATCAACCATGGAAGCTGTAACCGCAGTCTGAGACAGGCGATGCCAGCAGCGACGATAGCAGTAGAAGCGATGGCTATGCTAAAGATGATAGCTGCTGTTATTCCAAAATCTCTCTTGCTTCTATGCAATGTCAGTTCCACTCGATCTTCTGATACATTCACAGACATATGAAGAAGTGTAGAGATCCTCACAACCAGTGCAGAAGTGAAGGAGGAATTCCAGCAGTTGCTCAGGACACAATTACTGTAAGAACAATTAAGAACCTCTTCCGAAGTTGTGTTAGTAGTTATATTCCATAATACAAAGAAGAAGGGAGAGAGGACACAGGTGTAGGATTTAATAAATATGTACATATTTTTTCTGTTGTGTTAACAACAGAATTATTCCATATTGCAGTGTCATTTGTAATAGAGCCTTACTGAAGTATCAAAAGGGGTAGCATCAAGGCATGCAAAAGGACAACAATAATAGATTCCAGCAAACGTGGGTGCAACAAGTTGGTTAGGTTCCCTATAAGAATAGTTATACTTATTGTTAGTAGAGTTTTTAAAGAAAGGTTTTGGCCCAAACCATTGCATTTGGGTTGTGTTGTTGTCTCTTATGAGAAGTTCTCCGTCATTAAAGATACAGTCTCCTCACAATAGCACCTTAGGTAGATTATAGTTTGTATTGCTTGGTCAGCAGCGAGAAGCAGGGAGTATACCATCTCTGATTAAATTTTGAACTCTTTTATCGTATAGGGTATAAAATATCTTTTAGACCTATAAAAGGTCCTGATTCATTATAAAATCTCCAATGCTGGTGTTGGTCAACCAAAGACATCCATTTTCATCATAAGAAATGTTTGTGTTAATGTTTGTAATTCAGACATTGCTAGCGGGCCATCCTAGTGTATAGTTAGTGACATGTAGGGATGGAAATAATGAACTTTGCAATCCGACTGCCATTAATATGGGAGCACTAGACTCCAAACGGTTATATTACCCTGTATGCTCCATGTCTGTGTCAGAAGGATGAGGATTATCACCTTTGTTATTTTGTTGAGATGTTCCATGGTCTTCCAGGGAGTTGATCGTTCGACAATATCTTTCAGGAATCCAGATAGGTTTATCAGCACCTGGGGGAAAAACACAAACAGCTCCCCTCACCCACGCTAACAGTGGTGTAGCAGGTTTAAGCAATTGCAATCCCCTCTGCTGCCTGTTGGCAGTCTACCTTTTGATGGGCGCAATGCAGCTGCAATCACTTGCCCCTGTATATAATGCACATCCACATCTTTACACAGTCTGATGTAATCATTTAGGCTTTTGTGCCTCTGGGTTCTAAGTACTTCTTTGCAATACCGGTTTGCATTTTCATAAGCCAATTGCTTAATAATAGGCATAGCTTGTGTGACCTCTCCAAAGATGCATCCGGCCAGCTGTAATAGTCTGTCAACAAAATCTTGAAATGGTTCAGAGGGTCCTTGTATCATTTTAGAAAGGTGATCCCCAGCTGCTTTATTAGGCAGGCTCTTCCAGGCCTTTACAGCACAAGCTGCCACTTGAGCGTATACAGCTGGATCGTATAATATCTGAGCCCCCACCCCTCCATAGGCTCCTGCTCCCGTTAGCATGTCTATGAGCCAATCCGACCTGAGCATTAAGGCGGGCCACCTGGAGAGCCTGCTCTTGGAACTCTCCTCTCCATAAAAGATAATCACCTCCTGACAATACTGCTCTACACAGCTGTTGCCAATCACTGGGTGTTAAGTATTGTGTCTGGTAGGACTCTACCACGGTCATTGTGAAAGCTGCTTGTACCCCATAAGTGGAGACAACCTCCTTTAAGGCTTTGAGATCTTTGAAATGGAGAGGGTCATGTTGTCTGAGTACCTGACCTTGTTGTTGAGGATTAGGAACTTCCACCACAGGGGCAACTAAATGATTACAGCAAAATTTGACATCGCCCCTTAATTTTTCCTCACCTTCAATCTCAGAATACATTGGTCATTCATTAAACATAGGTGGTGCTGTTTGAACCAAGCTATCCGTGGTTTTAAGAGATTTTAACTTTTTCTTTAATGCTTTAATCTCCTGACATAACTTTTGTTCTTCATCCTCGCTAGATTCTCCCTCAGTCTCTGTGTCTGAATCCTCCCCTTTTAAAGAGGGAAGAGGTTTTAAGTGAGCACTAAGGGGAGCTCGAGCTCCTTCCTCTTCAGCCGAAGCTAAAGACAGTCTGCCTCTTGAAGCTCACCAAGGACTTCCTGAGCTGCCTTAAGTTCTGCTCTTACTTTCACTTTGTCCGAAAGCAATGCATCGCGAACCAGACGCCACAAGGAAAATGTGGTGATCGGGAGGTGCTCGCTACCTCCTTTTCTAATTTTTTCTGGCAGTCCCTCCTAACCTGTTCCCAATCAAGTAAATTTAAGCCTCCCCCAGTCAAAAACCAAGGACTGACTTCAGAGATGGTGTGAACAAACTGTTCAATAGTTTTGCTTTTAACAGCTGTTCCTTGTTCCTCCAAGACTCTTTTAATCTGATGATACAGTTCATGTTTACTTTGTACATTTCCCATGTTTACAGATATTCTTATGTATTATCCCCAATACGTCCTTGCCAGCCAAGGGTGACCCTGTCCACTTACCTCCTTTACTCAGATCTCGGTGGAACCTCCACTTGCCGCGCCAGCACGTCAAGCTCCGAGTATTCTGGGCAGAGGGTGTCAGGATTGAACAAACAATCACACCATCATGGAGTGGGAGGAAGGACTCTCTTTATTGCTTGAGACAAGGGTTTAAATACCTTTTCAGTAAAGAAGGTGGAGTCAGGACACATGATAATTGGGCATTCCCCTGATCACCTGACTGTAAGGCTAGTTTTGGGTCAGGGTGTACTTTTCTCAGAATCAGGAGGAAGTCCTTGTGATAAACAATTCCAGGAAACACCACAGATACCCAAGCTCTTATAAGGGGGAGGCAGAGGTCAGGACGCCATGTCCCTGCATTTAATAGGAATTTTGAGAACAAAGCTATGTGGCTTCATCAAGGAAGTTCTTCATGGAAAGAGTCAGGATTGTGACAATGTCAAGTAGAATCAAGCTAATATGGAAACAGTGTAATGAATGATTATTCCTATTCTGTTTTGAAAATAAAATCAGACATGTTGAATCTAACTATCTGAAAGTATATAGAAGGTATGTAATGAAAGACATTGCTAAGAATGTGTTGAAGAGATTAAAAGAGAGCATCTTTTAGCAGATTATACTACAATAAAGTAATATTATTAATGCTTGCATGAACAAGTTGTCATGAATGAAAGAATTTTAGAAACAGAAACTGGTGTGTTGGGAAACATATGTTATGACTAATTGCTAAGGAATTAACATTTATGGATAATCAGTTTTTAATTTAAAAGAAAAATTTGAATCCATACTTGACTTAATTAATAATAAATTACAAATAACTAAAACTTCATTATATATACATACTTAAAGATATTTTACTGTATCATCTTATACAAATATTGTATAAATTGCTAGACAATAATAGATAAGAAACACAAAATAATTAAGAGATTTGGACACAAAATTGTGAACATTTCAGCAATAAAAAGATAATATTAAGCAAAAATGAAAAATCACTCCAGAAACTGGAGTAAAATGATTTGTTATTTATGGTCCTGCAATCAATTGAAAAACATTAGTCAGAAAAACAGAAAAGAACTCCATAAGAAAAATGTGCAAAAGAATTATGTAAGTACTTCATAGGAAAAGTGTAAGGAAAGGAAGGAAGAAAAAGTGGCCAGTAATTTCACTCTAAAGCTATTCAACTACATTATTTTTGCAGTACAGCTAAAATGAGACACACTATTTCTTCCATGAGTCTGGCCACCACTTATAAAATGGATGGATGAGGGATAATGGGCATCTTCACACACTGAGCTGTACAAAGATGAACTTATGCAAGCAATTTGACAATATCATTCAAACTTATTAAAATGAGAAATATTTTCAACTAACAGTGCTACTAGTTTTGGCATCTAGTCTACAAAAATACAAAGATGTGTGCAAGGATATAGCAACTATGTTCCTCAGTTTACATTCTCCTCTTGAGATGAAGTTCTTACTACCCAAAGCTGCTGGTAGTATGAGTAGTTAAGAGCTCACAGCTGAGTTTCTCTGAGCATGGTCCATGGCTGAGGATTTAATGATTTGAGTTGGCTCACACCTGATGACAGCCTGTGCATGGACAGCACCTTGTCCTCTACTGGAGACAAATTTGAAGAGTCTCTGCACTTCCAGTGTTCCTGGTATTTCCACTGAGCTCTCAACTGCACAGTGGTTTCTTTGCCTACTTGCATTCAGATTATTTTCTAAAACTGCTATAACAAACTCTCACAAACTAGGACTCTTAACAAAACAGAAAAGTACTGTCTTGTAGTGTTGGAGACTAAAAGTTCAAATTCACAGTGTATCCAGGGCCATGAATGAAAGCATCTGAAGGTCTCAGGGAGTGAGGCTACCCATGCATTTCTCTGTTTCTGATGTTACTGACAGTGCTTGATTGTGTCTCTTAAACTCTGCTGATTGTCATGTGGTGTTCTTCCTACAACTTCCCACATTTCCATTATTACTGTTGGTCTGTGCATATCTGTCTATGTATCTCTACACATTTTCCTGTTTTCGGTTTTTCTTTTTGATTTTTGAAACAAGATCTCATAGCACAGGCTAGCCTGGAACTTGTGTTCTTACTAACTTTCCCCTACCAAGATCTGAGACTACAGGCGTACAGCCCCATACCCAGCACTTCCCAACTTATGACATCACTATTCTTATTGGTCTTTAATGCTTTCATTTTAGCTTGATCATTTCTACAAAGATCTTATTTCTAAATCATGTCATAGTCATAGATATGGACAGTTAGCACTGTAATTTATCCTTTTGAGAGTCACAATTCAACCCAAAACACTACTTCCTATACTCAAATTACATCATTAATTTATTGCCTTCCCTCATTGATACAGAGATAAACTAAGGTAAGATGAATTGAACTATTCCTTTTTAAATAATTCACTATATTTTTCTAAAGAGAAATCAGGATGTTTGCAAGGTATAAATGTAAATGTGCAAAAATGCCCACAATATTTTAAAATAAATTTAAATATTCTTTCTCATCTAAACTATAGGAAGTGATTATTTGGGGGAAAGATTATATTGGTACACAGATAAAATTGTCATTGCTATCTTAGATTACAAAATTTAAATTTTTTTTTTGTTTGTTTATTTTACTCTAAGCCTCCAACTTTCTTAAAAAGTTAGAAAATCAGTGTGTGGGTATATTTTTACTTCTGTTAAAAAACATTTCAATTATTATTTTTATTTCATGTGCATGAGTGTATTGCCTGCATGTAAGTGTACTGTGTCATGCAATGCCCACAAAGGTCAGAAGAAGAGGTCGAATTTCCTGTAACTGAAGATACAGACTGCTGTTAGCCACTATGTGAATGTTAGGACTCTAACCTGGGTCCTCTGTAAGAGCAGCCAGTACTCTTAACTCCTGAGCCATCTCTCCAGCCCTCTGTATTTTTATTTCAATTCTAGAACCATCATACATTTGCAGAGTTCTAGAAACAATACACAAATGACCTACAGAATCACGAACCACCAGCTGGAAGTTTGGGACAAAATAACATAAATATCTTACTGTCTTTTATTTCTTACTAGTTTGCTAAATTTCTGCCTCTATACCCTTACAAAAAGGAGAATTATACCAAGACATGATGACTAGTGGTAGTTTTTCTGAGTTTTGTGGACAGGTACTGTCACCTCTTAAACAGCTTGACAGTTTACCATGCTTCTGACATCTGGATAGATGTTAGTTCTCAGGGTTTCCCTCAAGTTTGAAATAAGAAACATTAGAAGATTGCCACAAAAATGAAAAGGGAAGAGGATGATCTACAGTATCATTTCCTTGAATGTTCTTACTGATTACTGGATAATTTAAAAGCCATATAGTTGGGATATGTTTATTACTCCCCACCTGGTAGATTCTCCCTTTAAAAGAAACTTAAGAATTATGACATCACAGCTGCAAATATTGCAAATATTGGTTTAAAATCTCATGTGAAATCCTACAATCTGCACAAAGGACATTAAATATAAAGAAATTTGATTTCACTTGTAATACTATTAGGCCTCTTGTTTGCCAAGGAGAAGATGCTTGAACTTATTTTCTTTACATGAAACATTAATTTTTTTTTTGATGAGATTGTAAAAAAGTACTCATAGCAAACATGATTTCACATACTGCCCTGTATGAGATGTCATGTCCCTGGATGCCTTAGAAGACATGGTGGGCTTAGCTAAAACAAAACATCATTACTTTGACACAAAACATCTGGTAGGATGTTTACTTGTCATTTGGTTTTTTTACATGAATGCACAATATCACCTGTTTCAGAGAAATTAGTTTCCTAACTATAAGTGTCTAGGGTAATTTGATAACCTATTCAGCACTTTCTTAATTACAAATGAGATATTTTATACAGCCTACTAATCATTGGTAAAAGCATTTTCATATAATTCCAAGCTAACATCAACCACAGTGATCATTCACATAAGCTGAATTTATAAATCTCTTTTCGGAAATAACAACCTCAAATAAATGATACTATTTGTATTCATTTCTTTAAAAATGACCATTTGAGTAAACATTAAGCAATGAGTTTATAGAAATCAAACATCTTTTATGTAGATAAGTAGGCAATCTCATCAAAATTATGCCTTCTTTTAAAGTTATTTTTATTTTATTATCGATTTTACTGTGCTTTGTTCTGCCATAATCAATAGATGCTTAAAACATAATCACAAAATAAAGATGCTATACTTTTTACTGATTTTTCTCTTCTTTGGTCTAACTTGGAATCAAATTTAATTGTCTTAAATTTATAAAATG